AACCAAACAACTAACACATGACAGGAACAGAAAGGTATCAAACTCACTGGCAATTTCTGTTGGTAACATTAAATGAGAAAGGTCAGCTCTATGTCGTTGTCTATTGGACGAACACAACTGAAGGAACAAAACGTATTTGAAAATATCAATGAAACAGACAGGTTCGTTGATTGAATTAATTATTTATCTTCTTTTTTTTCTCTCTTTACGAGTATTTGGTTCCCATAAAGTTTACCTGCAGTCTATGTTGATTCCCTATAACATTCTACTAGGATTAGACCCGCGCCTTGCGCGGGATGAGATGATTAAATTTGTTGTATTTTTGAAGATAAGAAGACATTATATCTGTTTTATTTGCATATTAGTTTATTTTGGATTGGTTGTTTCGGGTTTTAATATCGTCCAATTATATATCTATATTATAAATATTATCTTTTTGGTTAAATTGCGATTTTGATTTTATGGTGATAACACAAAGACTAAAATTAATTACGAATTTGTTTTTGGAGAGGCCTCACTATGGTAAGTCTCTATGTTAAGGAAGATGAGAAATCTAATATAAATAAAATAAACTCAATTCCATTATAATAAAGACGCATAATCTCATTCTTCCAAAAACAAATAATGGTCTAAATATAAATAGGTATTATATAAAAACAACTTCAATCAATAATTAGATAGAATAACTTCAAAACTTTAGAAATCGATGATTGGAATCCTGCAAAGACATGAATTTCAATATATGAGGAAGAACAAAGTTTTTAGTGTATATACACCTACACAGCTTTATAAAACCAACTAAGTATAATGTGCTTACTGCGATTTGAAGAACTGAATCTCTGGGATGCATGTCAGTATCAAACGGAATTTCAGAAACACCTTTCATGTTTGTAACATAAGTGAGACCACCTATAAAGTAATATCAACAATAAGTATAGAAACCATACATTTCTGAATAGCAAATAGTCAAATTAAATATAGATTACCTGCTCCCCATTCAATTCGCCATAACCTCAAAACACATACTACAACATCTGCAGTATTAGTATGCCAGAAATCATTTAAAATACGGGCTAGAGCACCATGAGCAACACACCTCACTTGAGTGTACCTGTTACATTTGTATTATATATCAGTCAATATAAATTGTACAAACATGGTCGTACTGAGAATAAACAATTGTAAATATATGAAAAGTTCAAACCCGAGATCGATTAAGGAGAACTCCAACGAATATAAAATAGTACTGTAACCGTTGGCAGGTTGATATGTCTTATTAACTATAAGATCTCCTACATGGACCAATGCTCCACATAGATCTACATAAGAAAAAATTGTTTCAGATTTTAGTACCATTAATTAACAATCTAAGAAAGGGTAAAGCATACTTAACATACCAATGCAGTACATAGGATGATAAAGACCCCGATTGATACGACGGAAGTTTGCACATCATAGAAATTTAGAACCGTTCACTGGTTCTATCTTTCTAAACAAACTCGCTTCATTGAACTTGATTGTGTACTTGTGCTTTGTGGTTCTATGAAGCTGAAAAACCCTTCTTATCTCAAAATTGAGTATCTCAACCCAATCACCTTCTTTGAGCTCAATCTCGTTAGGTAGAGACAAAGAATAGCTTAAGCTCCCTTCAATTGTTACTCCCTGTTTAAAACAACTAGTGAGTTCAGAATTTAGTATAAATGTGATTTATAAGACATTCATTAAAATATAAGATAACTTACTTTCGAATCTCCTAAGAGCATGGTTGAATGATGATCTCTTCCAATTTTCGTACTCCGTTTTCTAACGATCTTAACACGGATTGCAGGGAATTGAATCTTAGTATTCAACTCACTCAAAGAGATGAAGTTAACCATCACGCAAACAATGTAAGAGATTCTTCTATTATGTGTGTTTTTAGGTTTAGTTAGGATGCTTAGCGTAAAGTACACATATATATATATATAGGTTTCTTCTAAACATTAAAAGAGATTTAGTAAGATATATAGTCGATATATTGGTCAGATCGTAATAGGCAGTTTTTTTGTATATAATTCCTAAATGCATATGATTAAAATCTCCTATATATTCCATTTTTTATTCATAAATTTACTTTCTTAGTAGATGAATATTATCGTCCTTAAGTATAGTAATGGTTTGCTTTTCAGAAAATATTTACATCTTTTTGTCCCAAATAAGAATACCCCTAAAATGATGTATCTAGGAATAGAACACAATTCGGGAAAGATAAGTGCATTAGTTTGCTTGGGAGACTATTACAGAGCATTTGAAGATAAGAAAACATTAAATCAAGTGTATTGATTAGATCTAAGAATTCTCACCATGTTCTTCAGTGCCATCACTTATATCAGTTGCAAAGGTACCCCACAACACCAGATGCAGACGTTCATCCCTAAAATAATATACAAACATGTATATCTTAGATCATTGTCATCACGTCTGTTATCATGAATAATCATACAATATAAAGAGAGCCATACTTTTCATTACGAAGCTCCACCATAAGTTTATGAGTTTCTTTACCATTAGCTGATACAATTTCAATAGGAGTTACCTCAACAATCTGACCTATGACATCTGAGACAAAAAGATATGAGTTATATCATCTGACTATACATTCATATATTAAATGAAAGCACCGGAATCATGTTACTTACAAACCAAATAGTCTGTACTGAGTGTACCATCAAGAATGTCCATGTAGTTAACTGGTTCAAAACCAGTTAGAGCATTGGGAAAATCATCACAATTCCTCACGCNAATCTGACCTATGACATCTGAGACAAAAAGATATGAGTTATATCATCTGACTATACATTCATATATTAAATGAAAGCACCGGAATCATGTTACTTACAAACCAAATAGTCTGTACTGAGTGTACCATCAAGAATGTCCATGTAGTTAACTGGTTCAAAACCAGTTAGAGCATTGGGAAAATCATCACAATTCCTCACGCGTGTTGTCGACAGAAAACCAATTCTGTATGGATGTATGGTTGTTCGGTACGATCCACAAGAAGGCTTTAGTGAAAAGTTGATGAGAATCTTTGAACTTCCTTGTGAAAGGAATGAATCGAACTGATTAACCAGATCTTTTTTCACAGTAGCATTAATTTTAACACCCTACAAAAAGCATCAAATATAGTCAAAAATTATATAGGTTCATTAAACATACTAAATATTACTAACGTGAATAGTAAATATTACTACGTTCTCATTGATTAGAACCATCTCAATTGTTTCTCCACCGGCTGCAGAATACTGCTTCCACAAACGAATGATCTTTACCATAATCTTCCACATAGACTTGAACGGTTTAAAATCTGACACGGCAGTAAACGCAGCCATTAGAGAAAGATGAGTGAACAATAACTGGGTTTTCGTTTAGGTTATGAGTCCTAATGATGAGAACAACGTTTATTATATATGGGATAATAAACCTAATGGACTTGGACCACAAGATAATTAAATGTAAAGATCCTCGCCTTGGTGAGTAATTTACTTCGACCACAAGAATGTCAATATTGCCATAAACCAAACTTTTTAAATAAAAGAAAATATCCTATCATCATTAATAAACTTTGCCAAACACTCATATACTGTAAACCGTCCAAGAAAACATTAACCGTTTCAATTCAAAGAAGAGTAGTCGAAACCAACGGTTCTATCCGAGTAGTCGGTTCGAAATCAGAGTAGTCCAAACCAAATGGTTTAACCAAATAAAAAAAGGAGTTCTCGGTATAAACAAACTATATCAAATACATATTTGGAAGTTCATGCTATGTACAAGAAAATTGCATTTTATATATTTTCAGTAAAGATAAGTCAAAAGGTTTCTTTGTGAAGACGAAGATCGTTAGTGACCATGCTTTCTCGTAAATATGAATATCGTTAGGGACCATGTACAATCATGGACGTGAATATGCAAATAAGTAGTAGTATATACTAATAACATTTTTTGGTTAATTCTTCTTTATTTTACGGCTGTCTTCAACATGCAGAGTATCAGTATAACCCGAAAGAGAAGGTGGGATTAGACCATGCAATCAAGCTTTCGAGGCTGATAAGTTCAATATAAGCGGGTCAGGGAAAATATGGGAATGATAGTTTATCAACTGGTACTTCTTCAGCTCTTACATCAAAAGCTGAATTCTCAGATATGTCAAACTTGGAAAGAAATAGCATGACAGTATGGACACTACATTCTACATAAGAAAGTAACTCGTTAAGTTGTCTTGTGAATTCTTTCTAATTAAAGTATTTCGTGTGTTTTTAAAATGTAGCGTTTTTGCAACTCTCTGAAAAGTTGATAGAGACGAAAAAGTAATACTCCAATTAAAGATCATGAAGAAAACATTATTCCGGTTGATAAACGTTTTTTAAACGTATAACTTTTGTCTCATATATCTGTTTTTTTTGGTCATCCACACGACATGGACACACGTAAGATGGAAGTATATTACTGTCAACACCATTAAGAGTATTGAGACAATCCAAAATCTCCTTTTAGTCTCGAGATGGGTTGCGAAAAAGCTCATTTCGAGAAGCTAATTCTCGACTTGTATAACGAAATCTCCAATCTCAAGAGCCTTGAACCTTTCACATATATATGTCGACAATTTGTTCAATAGCTCATGTTCACTACATAACCAATCTCACCAACCTACGTAGTGAAGATATAGAGTTTTCAGAGCACCACTACTATACGGCCTTGGGATTTCTCGAAGACAACACACTTTACCATTTAGATCTACCCTCAGTACACTAACTACCTCAAACTTAGCAAGGTTGAGTTCAATCTCTTCACGCTACACACGAGCCATGTCCAAACCAAGATCGCGTTCATGGGTTCCGGTACGTTGCCCTTCACATCCATCATCTTAGATACGTCCCACTTCCCAAATAACGACGTTCCAGAACTTTGACATCGACCCTCAAGCCAATTCACTTGCCTCCGAACTTGTCTCACGCGATATTGAACTTTGTAGTTTTAAAGTATCTCGTGTGTTTTATAANGAGCCATGTCCAAACCAAGATCGCGTTCATGGGTTCCGGTACGTTGCCCTTCACATCCATCATCTTAGATACGTCCCACTTCCCAAATAACGACGTTCCAGAACTTTGACATCGACCCTCAAGCCAATTCACTTGCCTCCGAACTTGTCTCACGCGATATTGAACTTTGTAGTTTTAAAGTATCTCGTGTGTTTTATAATTGAAGTAAATAAGGTAAACAATTGTTGAAGTAAATAAGGTAATATATTGTGAGAAGGTAGTAAATAAGGTAATAAATTGTGAGAAGATAGTAAATAAGGTAATAAATTGTGAGAAGATGGTGTGAAAACATTTAATGCAAAATGCTTCTCTTTTAATATATAAGGGATTTCTCTATGCGAATAGACTGACCAAATAGGCTAACCAAACGAAATCTCTAATTTGAAATTAGATTCAATGAGAAATCATAAAAGCGTTTGACCTCGTAGACAGAAGATTCGAGCTCAGGTTTACCGAGATCGTCGTGGAGAGCGGAGACGATCTCAGGCTCGTGGTTATCGCAGATTAAGAGAAGCTTTTTAAGCTGAGTGACTCTCCACTCGTAGGCGCGAGTAACTCCGGCATCGAAGCTCCGACGAAGATCCGTCACCAAATCGGTTGCATCTGCTGCTTGGAAGACCTTCGCCATGCCGTAGACTAGACGCTTACGTAAGCAAACACGGGCAAAGATTGAGCTCGGATCTCAAGAGAATCTGGATTGTTTTTCTTTGAATAAAATGAAATAAATATATTTTTGTCGTAGCTTTACAAAATGCTACACCTTGACGTTTGCTCTTGTTATTTAAAACGAGATATGTTTCGATCTATACTATTATTTGCGAAATGATTTTTCGCAACGGCGAAATGATTTTTCGCAACGGAGCTCTCACGTTAAAAGTTAGAGTGGTTAATATCGTTTATACCCTTAATGAATAAAATATATAAATTAGACATAAAATAAAAAAGAAATTGATATTTATTTGATTAGATAAATGATTTAAACTAATAATAATGATAAGAATTATCCATAATCTAAATATATATTTAAAAAGAAAAAAGATAACTCCTATATATATTGTGTTGTTATCCGGAAAATATATTTTAATAAAAAATCAAAAAAAGAAAACACATAAATAAATACTCATAAAGAAACTTTTAAATTGTACATAATTGTAAAGAGAAAATTGAAAAATTTATAATACGTACTTATTTTCTAATTAAAAGAATATAATAATATAACATAATGATATATATTTGTGAAGTAATTTTTTGTCTCTGAACTCACACGTTAAATTAAAATTATTTTATATTTTATATAGTATAACATTAAACATGAATTAATTATAATAAAATAAAAGATCATTCAAAAAGAAAAAAATATATGTTGTTGCAAAATAAATTCAAATATATTATAGTATTATCCAAACTAATATTATTCTTTCTGTAAGATCAATTTTTGAATGTATATTTATTGATTCAATTTATCAAATTGAAAGATAAGTTTCTATATTTTTTTTATCAATTGAGAAGAAATGAAACAGATTTTAGATTTTGATTTCAAAGTTTTAAAGGGAAAAATAGATTTTTTTTTTAATTTATTAATAATTTTATCATGTAAAAACGTTTAATGTTTTAGGTCTAATTTTTTGGATGAAAACAATCATTTATTTTGATGATTTTTTATATTGTCTTAAAAATAATTAAGCCCGCATGTGCGGGCAAAACACCTAGTTTCCTTTATATAATAAAGAGCATACGTTTCAGTTTTTAAAATATTAAAATTGAAATACAAATAAAGTTTTATTCTGATTTTTCCTAAATAATTATATAAGCACGCCACTGGCCTAAATCAATGTTAACTGTAAAATCATATCTCTTAATTCAATTATTTTATTTAACCAATCCCATTGATTAACCGATACTGATAAACATACACTAACATTATAACCAAATCTTCTAAATTCAATTAATTTATTTAACCAACCAATAAATCCAATCTTAACAAATTGTATAGTAGAAAAACTCTAATCTCTCTGACGACACTAAGAGCGATCGTCATGGCGGCTTGAGCAAATCTCCTTTGAGATTTGTTCCATCATCTGATATGTTATTCTTTGGTAACAGATCATCCCGGTTTCTTGTTGTTTGTTGTTTGGGCCGGTTCGAAACCTGGAACGAACCCCTCATCGAGAATCGTTAACGGTAATGGTGTTTTCTGCTCTCTTCTCAAACTGTGATCTCCCTAATTGATACACTCTTCGACGTATTGCTTGGACGAGATTCATACAAAGGCGAACTTGGCGTTAATCACTTTTGGATCTGGTTTCTTACGTAGTACGCAACGTCTAGACTGTTTCTCACGTATCATATCAGCTTAACTCACTCATACCACGATTGCTTTGTATTTGTTTCCTTGTGCTCTCAAGAATAGAGATCTTCATAACACAATATCTTTGTCTTTGATTTGAAATTGCTGGATGGGCTCTTTGGCTCGATCTAGATCTAATAACATGGTGGACACCAAAGGTAAAGGGATCCTCTATGAAGATGATGATGAGCTAATTAAACTCATTGAGCAAGATGACTCATTTGTGATAAAGGAATACCGCATGTCTCTCATTGGTAAGATACTCAATAAAAAAAACAGAATGTGGAGAAGCTCGTTCAAACAATGGCATCTCAATGGGGTTTACAAGATCGCATCACTGCAAACGATTTGGGAAATGGCAAATTCCTTTTCAACTTCACAACTGAAGAGGATCTAAATTCGGTACTTAGGAAAGGGCCGTTTCATTTCAATTTTTGCATGTTCGTCTTGGCAAGGTGGGAACCAGTAGTATACGATGATTACCCGTGGATCATGCCGTTTTGGGTTAGCTTCATTGGGATGCCTTTGCATCTATGGACAAACCGCAATCTACGAAACATTGGAAGCCGGCTTGGTAATGTTGATACAATCGATCTATCAGAGAGACGGCTTCTCATTAACATTGATTCTCGAAAACCGTTGAAGTTTAAGAGAAAAGTCCAAAGTACAGAGGGAGATGAGATAACCATTGAAATTAAGTACGACTTGCTCTTCAAGCATTGTACTCTATGTGGTTTAATGACCCATGAGAAGGGTTACTGTCCTAGCACATAATCTAGCTCTCATACTCTACCTGTGAGAAGTGATGTCTTCAAGCGTGTCCAGCTTATTAGCCAACATACCGGTCGTCAGCCTTTGCTGAATGATAGGAGTGCAGCTCTGCGTGGTCATGGAGGTAAAGTTGATTACGATCGCAATACTCTGTCAAGATCTTCTCGTGGGGAACCACAAAGGAATGATAAAAGTTTAATCATGCATTCTTGCCATTATGGGTCACGTAATGGAGACAAGGAGGTGTCTACAGACACTGCGTCTTATCAATCACGGTACAAAAATGATAACATGCGAGTGACCAGCCATCACGATCGTATCATACGGAAGAGTGGAGATAAGTTCAATCATCATCGGTACAACAAATCTCGACATAGTCGAGGACCTTATGATCGACATCAAACATAACAGGCTTGGCGTGAGAAAAAAAAACATGAAAAACTTGATAAAAAGCAGTCTGAAATGCGTGAACGTATGTCAACACACGAGATTGTTCCTTATGAGCAATCACACGATGATACGAACTTCATGAAGCATGGGAATTCTTCGTACCGTGATACAGAGCTACAGCTGGAAGGAGGAGTGCGACAGAGTAAAAGAATAGCAAGTGCTATTGTCTCACCAGCTTTATATCCATCAACCATGGAAGAAAACGTTACCATTCATAGCAAGGGTGTGGCGCGATCCTTAACTTTCTCGCCCCAAACATCAGCTTTTGAGAGTGGTGGTGAGCATGTTATTGAAACACTAAGCGGCATGGAGATAAAAATATCTGACGAAGATGAGATGATGGCATGCGAGGATGACTTATTTGGTGAGGAGCTCATGGAATTAGAAGGACAGCCTCAATCCTCCATAGCCGAAACAACATCAAATACTAAAACAACTAAAAAGGAGACAAAACACTCTCATGGTGGTTACATGAGGAATCCTCCATTGGGGATTAGGACAAAGAAACAAGAGTTCCTTCGCCAAGGTTCTCCAAAGATTAGAACAGTAATGGCATCTCCGCACAACAAAGGCGAGAAAGACAAACCAATGCAGTCTCACCATGTTTCAAATAAGGTCCAAACAAGTACCAACAAGGAAGGAGGTTCGATGGGATCCAAAAACCCATCCCCAAGTGATCAATGAGGACAATCAGTTGGAGCTGTCGAGGGATTGGGAATAACCTCACAGTTCGATGCCTTACGAAGATGTGTCAGAAGCATCGTCCATGATTTGTGTTCCTTTCTGAAACGAAGAATAGGAGGCTGCTGTTGCAAGACATTCATGCCGACTTAGGATTTGATCGTTTGTTTACCGTTGAGCCACTTTTGGTCTCAGCTGAGGTTTAGGACTTTTTTATATGGATGATTTTCAAGTTAATGTTTTATTTTCAAATAACAGAATGGTTGACACTGAGACAAGTCATTGATGGAATAAAAGTCTATATGACGTTTGTTTATGGGGACCCGTACTTGAACGAAAAGATTTAGTCTTGAAATGTTTTATGCGTTTCTCAACAACAAGAAATGGACCTTGGTTTATGATAGGTGACTTTAATGAAATAACTTGTCATGAGGAGAAGGAGGGAGGCAGACAACGCATACACATCTCATTTTTACCTTTCAAGCAAATGCTGAGCGATTGTGGTATGCTGGATTTTTCTTTTACATGGAACATGTTGTCCTGGGTTAGAAAAAGAGCAAGGATGACTACGGTTAGATGCCACCTTGACAGAGCTGTTGGGAATGAGGACTGGCATGAGAAGTTCCCTCATTTCAAAGTGCAGTATATGAGGGTCTGGGGGTCGGATCATCGTCTGATCTTGGCTGGCATTCTTAAAAAGAAACCGAGAAGATAAAAAAAAATCAAATTTGATAAGAGATGGCTGGATAATGAGAAGCGCAGGAAAGTCATATTTGAGGGATGGAAATCACCGGATCTTCCACCAGCCGCAAGTATTACGGAGCATATTTCAAGTTCCAGGTGAGCCTTAAGTGACTGGAAAAGGCAACATAATCTGAACTTAGAAAAAAGTGTGGAGGAGTTGAAAGAAAAAGTGGATCAATTATCCTCAAATGATGATGCCATTACAGAGGAGATTGCGGCAGCTTTAAGGGAACTGTCTGACGCTCTTAAGGCGGAAGATATGTTCTAGAAGCAGAAGTGTAGGATATTTTGGTTAAGGGAAGAATATAGAAATACTAAATTCGTTCACGCCCTTACGAAGCAGAGAAGAGCGAGGAACATGATTACACAGTTACTGGATGAATATGGGAATGCTGTAGAGGATGCAGAAAGAATTGTAGCCATTGCTACAAGTTATTTAAGACACATCTTTCAATCATCAAACCCTGTGGATATAGAGGAAGTACTATCTGAGGTATCTACAACCATTACATCAGCAGACAATGAGAATATCACAGCTCCGGTTTTGTAATGCATAGAGAGAAAACCCCAGGACCAGATGGAATGACTGCGCTTTTTTACCAGAAGTTTTGGGATATTGTAAAGGATGATTGAACTCTTATGGTTAATCAATTCCTGTTGAAGGCACGTTACCTACTGGTTTAATTGATACTAACATATGTCTCATTCTGAAAGTAAATAAGCCAAATATGATGAGCCAGCTACGTCCAATCAGTTTATGTAATGTTAGTTACAAGATAATCTCTAAGATCCTATGCCAGAGGTTAAAAAGGTTCTACCAGACCGGATTTCAGAAACCTAGTCAACCTTTGTTGCTGGGAGACAGATATCTGACAACATTATGATTGCTCATGAGATGTTCCATGCTCTAAGAACCAAACCGAGTGAACGCAACAAGAGGATGTCCATTAAAACAAGCATGAGCAAGGCGTACGATAGAATGGAATGGTCTTTCATATAGGCTACCATGAGAAAGATGGGTTTTTCGGAAATCTGGATAACCTGGATAATGTGATGTGTAACATCAGTAAAGTATAAGGTCCTTATGAATGGCCAGCTAAGAGGGACTATTGTCCCAGAAAGAGGTCTAAGGCAGGGGGATCCTCTGTCCCCTTTCATTTCTATTCTATGCACGGAAGCGCTCGTTAGCCTTCTAAATCATGCAGAGAATCGAGGAAAGATAATGGGGATGCGCATCACGCATGTGTGTACTTCGGTATCTCACCTTCTCTTTGCTGATGTTAGCCTGTTCTTTTGCAAGGAGCCCCGTGAATGTAAAGAAGTAATGAAAGTGTTCAGGAAATATGGACAAGCTTCTGGACAATGCATTAATTTCGATAAATCATCTATACTCTTTAGTAAGAGAATTAGACAGGCTGTTAGGCAAGAGATTAAAGACACACTTTGGATTCAGAATGAAGGAGGGATGAGAACATACTTAGGAATTCCAGAGGATATCAGTGGATCCAAATGCAAGCTTTTACCTTCTTAAAGGATAAGCTAGGGAATAGAGTGAATGGATGGATGTGTAGGTGGTTATCAAAAGGTGGCAAGGAAGTAATGATTAAGTCAATCCTGCTAGCACTCCCAACATATGTAATGTCTTGCTTTCTACTTCCGTTGAAGATCTGTGATGCTTTAACTAGTGCCATTGCACAGTTCTAGTGGAGTTCGAACCCCTCAAAAAGAGGTATACACTGGTCAACATGGGATAAATTATGCTTATCTAAAGAGGAAGGAGGGATTGAGTTTAGAATGATTCATGAGTTTAACTAGGTGTTGTTAGCAAAACAATTATGGCGATTGGTTCAATACCCAGATAATCTGGTAGCTCGAGTATTGCGAGGACGATATTATCGGTTGAGCTCGCCTTTGCGACAGCTTACGGTCAGTAGCCCATCGTATGTGTCAAAAAGTATCTCGGCGGCACGAGAATTACTATTGCTGGGAGTTAGACATACAATACATTCGGGATATGAGGTAAAAGTATGGGTGGATCCATGGATTCATACTGTTCCAGTGGGATCACCGTCTCCATTGCACCGGTTTTGCATCTGAACATGAGAGTGAGTGACCTTATCAATCAAGAAACAAAGTCTTGGGATCTGAGCCGGCTGGCGAACTATGTAGATGCTGCTGATAAGAAGTATGACTGGAAATGGACAATACACAGTCAAATCTGGATGTTGGGTTGCACAAAATATATTGATGAAGGAAGAGGATGCTGTAGTTTGTGAACCTAGTATCAAAAAACTCCTAACACATGCTTGGAAGATCAAGGCACCCCAAAAGATGTGCCATCTTATGTGGCAAAAAATAACAAGTCATGTGGCTGTTACAAGTACTTTGAACTATATACATATGAGATGTGATAATCACTGTCCATGATGTGGGGAATCAGAAGAATCAGTTACATATGCAATCTTTCAGTGTCCACCTGCATGCAATGCATGTTTGGGCCTTATCATCTACGCCTTCCAGTCCTACCTTGTTTCCACTACAGAGTACATACGCGAATATGGAATATCTCTTCAGGAGGAAAAATGCCATAATGGAACCGGAATTGGACAGCGACCCTTATCCCTGGCTAATATGGTATATTTGGAAGGCTCGGAACAATAAGCTGTTCAGAGAAATTGATAGAGATCGTTTGGAACTAGCCTGCTATGCAGAGAGTGAGTGTCAATCCTGGTTCCAAGCCAATGAGCAGATTATATCGCAATCTCAAGGAAACATAGATGTTGAAAGCCAGACCATAATTCTGGGAAACATTTGTATGGTAGACGGTTCTTGGACCTCTACATCGCAGTTCAGTGAATGTGGTTGGGTTTGTAATGACAGGATGAGAAATAGTCAGTTAATGGGTATGCGAAATTTTGGTAGGGTGGAGTCTGCTTTGCACTCTGAGCTGGAAACACTGCGGCATGCAATGGAGAATATGCTTCAACACTCGCCATGTCAGAGTTTTGGGACGGACTGCAAGGAGATGATAGCGATGCTCAGAAATCCTTATGATTGGCCAAGCTTCTCAACGGAATTGGAAAAGCTCATGACGCTGCGGATTTGCTTCCCAGATTTCAAGATCTTCTACGTTCCTAAGACACATAATGATGTTTATGATTATTTAGCTAAAACTGCTCGATCTTTCCATCGAGAACTTTTGTATGTTGGTTGTTGTATTCCGGTCTGGCTACCCAGACCACCTCAATCTTGAGTAATAGATCAGCCTTTTGATGTAAAAAAAAAACAAATCGTATAGGAATATGTATTTAGAATTTAATTGCCACCACTTATCATCCATCCTCACTGCTGTAGTCTGTTGCATTATAACCCATGTATGGCATACCTGAACCATTTTAATATCACAAACATATAAAATTCATCACAACAACTATATATCAATTTACCTAAAGTTTGCTGATATACCATGATTTTGACCCACTTTTGATCATGGTATTGATATGTTTTTATGTATATTTACTACAATATAGAGTCTATTTAGAGTATTTACAGGTTCAGGTACGTTGTGGAGAAATATGGTGATTTTGGTGTCTTTTGGAGCCTTTAAGTGCAGAACTGCGCAGACGCGTCAGCTTTTTAGATATGGATGGAGACCTTCCCATGGTGCGATTGGGCCCATCTTGTGACACAAGATAGAGATTTGAGTTAGCTTTCCAATGCCACCGGTTTGGGGTCAATCCAACGGTTAAATCAGACGTTATGCCCGTTTTACTGAAGAGTGATCAGTCTGCCTCGCGAGAGAAGACTGTCGGGAAGATTTGTGCATATCGATCGATGAGAGACACTTCATATCGATCGATATGGATGCCAGAATGCGGGCCAAGTATATTTCGTGACCAACTGAATCCCAGAAGAAACCTAAATTACCAGAATGCCCTTGGACGACCAGAAACCCTATTTATGTTATTTGCAAGCCATTGTTGACGGCGAGGCTATCTACGCTTCTTTTTAATCTTTGTTTCATTGTTCTTAGTTAGGAGAGAAGAGGTGAACTCCTTCAGAGTCCTCTTGGAACTCCATTGGAATTATCTTTACTTTCTTATGCTATTATTATTCTGACTATGATTTGTGTTTCTTCAATCATGTCTGAGTAGTTCATCTTGTTAGGTTTAGGGATTTCATGAGCTTA